CTCTATTGAACACTCCAGTGTCACGCAGCTGCACAACTGTGAAATGGTCACTTTAAAAAACCAATGAGAGGGCTGGGGATGTGGTTCAAGCGGTAGCTCGCTCGCCTGGCATACGTGCGGCCCGGGTTCGATCCTCAGCACCACATACAAACAAAGATGTTGTGTCCGCCGAGAACTAAAAAATAAATATTAAAAAAAAAAAAACACCAATGAGAAGTCCCAGAATCTCTCAAAACACAAGGGAAAAGTCACTCTAAAAGGGCATCTTTTAGACGTCCTCTGGAATACCTTAAAAGTCATAACTATTCTTCTTTTCTACCTGTAAAGACAGAAATAAGAGGAAACTACAAGAATCACAGACCTGAAAGAGCACCGAGAAAACTATTCAGTGCATTATCTTTGACTTACAAAGGGAAAAAAGCCAAGTCCAGAGATGATGAATGTCTACACCTTCTCCAAATCACTACCAAATTCTTCCCTCTGCAATGCTTCTGCTAGTTCATATTTATGAACAGAATTCTTTTACAATGTCTGATAAGAATCTACAGCTATATTTTAAATAAATCTCACCTTATTTTACTTCCAAGGAATAGCACAGATCCTTTATCACTCCATATGCAGATTTCCTTCATCAGATTTACAAACTTGGTTATTACCAAGGGTAGGTTTATTTGGGTGGTTGATTTTTTTGTTGATGTTTTGCTTCGTTATTGTTGTTGTTTTCTTGGCAGTACTAAAATTAAATCTAAGAGTACGCTACCACTGAGCTACATCCCAGCCCTTTATATTTTTTTTATTTTGAAACAGGGCCTAACTAAACTTCCAAGCCTTGCCTCAAACTTAAAATTCTCCTGACTCAGTCTCCAAAGTAGCTGGGATTACAGGCCTACACCACTTGCCTGGCTCCAAGGGTAGATTTTTTTTTTTTCAAAGACAAATAGCCAAATACCTAAATACAATTCACTCATCACAGAAAAATATAGTATTCTCTACTATCTTAACTACCCTGGAAGTTGTCAAGTTGACTACACATCAAGGAAAGTCAAGAAAAAAGAAGGCCCCTGGTTTTTAAAACTTGGAAAAACAATTATGCAGAATAAGGTATCTTTCTGTCAAAGGCTCACAACAGTATATTCCAATTAGAACTCCTCTCCTTTTCTCTTTATAAATCCATGCTAAAATGGCATGAACAGGAATAACAGTACCCTTCTACAAGAGAAGAAACAAGTCCTGCAAGATCATACCAAACCAATGTAGGAACAGAGCCCAGAAACTCCAATTCAGCCCATCTGCCTCTAAAATACTAAAATACTCTCTTAACTCTCAACTCACAGACTAATCTTTCATAGTAAATAAAAACCACTCAAGTATATGACTTTCAGCTTTTCAGGACTTGAAAGAGAAGGCCAACAAGAATGTGCATGGACTATTTTAATATTATTTGTGGCCCCAATCCTACAATTTTCCTTTCATTCTTTTAGTATTGACTTTCTAGATTAAGAGGCAAGTAAAGCCCTGATAGTGAGTACTTTAGCTAACAAAGGCTGCACTTAAGGTTTGAAACTGTTAATTTTAGTAGCCACTTCTTTGCAAGACTTCTACTATGAAATGTTCTAAATTTTTCCAAGCGACAAAGACTCCTAGTAGTGCTTTGAAGGAAAAAAATAGAAGCTAAGCAACACTAACTTTAACCACTAGAAATCAATTACGTTGAATGGAACCAATTCTCCGTGAATTTTAAAGATTCATCTATTTCTGTACATAAATACTTCAATGAAGGCACATATACACAAATACAAACACACAAGAAATATGTAATGGGCCTAGCTAAAAAGTTCGTGCAATTTTCTTTATTTATGATGGTAAATATTTACATACTGCTTTCTGAAGATGTACTATTGCTAAACAGGAAGAAAAATGAATGAAGTAATTAGAAGTTGTGCTTTTTTATTTCATTGAAAAAGCTCACTCTTATTTTTCTTTTATGCTAATCTCCCCTGTATTGCTACAAAAACAACATCATCTCCCAATTTGCCCCTATCCAAATCCTAACTAGACTAGAAGAAGCATCTGGTATCTGGTATGCCACATCCATTAAAATGATCTCCAACGAGTCCTGCCATAATGATCCTCCTCTGAACTTCAACCACAGAAGAAACAGTTCTGTTTTCACATGGATTCACTGTTTCCTCTAGCTAAAGAAACTCCTTGAGTACAGAAACCTCATTGCATATTTAGGTGGTCTCCTTTGTCTAGAAACTGGGCTGTACTTTAAGAAAAAAAAAAAACCAGAAAGTTATCTGTGTTTTGGAAGTAAAGTATTATAATGCATTTAAACTCTCCCCCCCCCCAAAAAAAGTAACATACAAAATTCTCTCCAAAACATCAATTTTTATGAAGCTTACTAAAATGAAATGTTTTACCTCTCAATTATTTTACAAATGGTAGTTTTATTTACTTTAATTATGGGCACATGTTTTGGAGTAGAAGGAATGCAGGTCAGAATCCAAGGTCTACCACTCACTACAAGTGTTACTTTGGGCAGATTAATTCATGCATCTTGGCTTCCTTATCTGAATAAGAGAACTGTTCTCTCAGTGGTACTGATGAGACAATACATGGAAACTTCTTAGCATCTGTCTAATAAGTGGTTGACAAATGGTAGTTGCTACTGTTACTTTGTGAATATTGGGATGACCCAGCATTACTTTTGGAATATACTTTATTTATTTACTTACACAACCACATCTGAGAAATTACATACAAGTCCAATAAATTGCACTTATGTAAGAAAAAAAGAATTATCATTTAAGTAAAATTCACCCTGTTATTAAATCTTGTCCACTATTCAATTAAAATTCAGCCTGTAGGGGTAAGGGTAGGGTATTTTATTAATTTTCTATCTTGTTCTTCTTAGGATTGGATTTTTGATCTATACTTCTATTGATGGACTAGAGCATCTTAGAATCACAGGAATAGGGGAAGCAGACAAAGTAGTTTCTCCTGCCCAGGAGAGGTGGCACACACCTGTAATCTCATCGATTTGGAGGGCTAAAGCAAGAGGATCACAAGTTCAAAGCCAGCCTCAGCAATTTATCAAGGACCTAAGGAACTCAGGGAGACCCTGTCTCTAAATAAAATACAAAAAGGGCTGGGGATGTGGCCCAGTAGTTGCGTGCCCTTGGGTTCAATCCATGCCAAAAAAAAAAAAAAAAAAAGTAGTTTCTAATTCTGTACTTAATATCTAACCAACCTGTTAAATTTTCTTCTCAAACTTTGCTCTGAAAATTAAATGGCAAAGTCTGTAAGCCAATAACCACATGGATATTTTAATACATACTGTTTCAATGATTTTAAGGAGGGATGGGAAACACAAGACACCCATCAATCATCTCTTAAAAGCAATGAATCCAAGATGATAAGACACAGGAGTCTTGTGACCACAGATGATTCAGAAAAGCTGAAAGCAAAATCTTATAACAAAAAGCAAGAATCTCAAGTCCAAAACACCAAAAAATTTTAACTATTCAATGCCTACTCACAAAGACAATCCATGAGTGCTTTTTTATAATTCAGAAGAGGAATTAATTCAATTCTGAATCCTCAGAACCTAGCACAGTGCCTAAATCAAAAAATATTTGCTAAATTAAATAAGCGTATCTGGAGCTGGGGATGTGGCTCAAGCGGTAGCGCGCTCACCTGGCACGCGTGCAGCCCAGGTTCGATCCTCAGCACCACATACAAACAAAGATGTTGTGTCCGCCAAACACTAAATAATAAATATTAAAAATTCTCTCTCTCCCCCTCCTCTCTCTCTCTATCTCTCTCTTTAAAAAAAAAAAAGTGTATCTAATGGATGACATATATGAAACACCTAAAATATAAGGATTCTCCCTACTTTAAAACATTAAAAATATAGTTCTTAAATATCAGATATAAAACAATTAAAACAGAAAACCTAAGACTTTTCTCCAGAATGAGAACCCCAAGCAAATTTTGTATTTCTGAACCTGTGACATCTTAAGCAATTATTACAAACTATATTTTCTTCGTCATCAATAGATGCTTACTGTCAATAACTACAATCACCAGAATTTGGTTTTGCTTTAGTTACCTATACACTACACCCAACTGTACCCCCCACCTTCCCTTTTCTTCTTCTTCTTTTTTTTTTTTTTTTTGGTAATAGTCCTGGTGATATTAACCCAGGGATACTCTGCCTTTGAACTACATCTCCAGTCTCTTTTTTATTTCATTTTGAAACAGGATCTTGCTAAGTTGCTGAAGCTGGCCTTGAACTTACAATCCTCCAGCATCAGTCTCCCAAGTACCTGGGATTACAGGTGTGCACCACAGAGCAAGTGCCAGGCATATAATTCCCTTTTTAAAATTATGGCAGTGTTAGCTATCAATATGATGAATGGCAGGAAACTTCAATTTTGCAAATTTTAATTACAAAGTAAAATTCTTCTTTCTGAATTCTTTCTAAAGGATGACTGGCTCAGACCTCAATCTTCTGTAATTAGGTGACTACAAACCAAATAATCTGCCCCCAAAAGGCAAAGGCACTACTCCGAAAATAGGTTATTGTCATATTGTGATTAGCTGCCAATTTAGGACTCCCTTTTCCAACTGCCAAAGAACCTAACCACTGAAAAATGAGGCAAAGGTAAGGACATTTGATACATACAAAATTAAAATATATATCTGAATTTTGACAGCTCTATTTTTAGCTAACTATTTAATATGTAATTTTAAATCATTTGTCCTCATTTTTTATCGCTTTGTTTTGTTCTTAAACTATTAGATTATGGTTAACCTTCTTCCTATAATGATACAGTTCTGACAAAATTCTCCAGCATCCCATTCCTAGCATGAGGATGGAAACAAGAAAAAGCAAGCACATACTTCTGGAGACTAGATCAGACACTTTTGATGAAAGACAACTCCAACTTTCCCTTAAGAAAAGACCCACTTTTCTGACACACCAGCTCACTTACCTCTCCCATCGCTCTTCCCTCCAGAGCAAGTGCTTGAAAATCATGATTCAGTTCATCCATAGAACGTACCTGGTGTTCAGAATAGAGAAGGAAAAAGCTTCAAGTCAGTATATTCGATTTCACATACAAATTACACAACTGAAACTTTTCTATATTTACTTTCAGATACTGACAAAAGACAGTAACAAAAATGAAGTAAGATTAAATATTCACTTACCTTTAACCGTCAAGGTTCCCCTAAGATCACTGTTTATCCCCTCCCATTCCCTTTTATTTTCAAAACATTAAAACACAATATCATAATTTTGTTAGCTGTTTTTCATACTTTGGGGGTGGGGGGATTGGGGATTGAACTCAGGGGCACTCGACCATTGAGCCACATCCCCAGTCCTTTTCTGTATTTTATTTAGAGACAGAGTCTCAATGAGTTGTTAGCACCTTGCTTTGAACTTGAAATCCTCTTACCTCAGCCTCCCAAGCCTCTAGGATTACAGGCATTCACCACCACACCCAATTCTCATATACTTTAATAAGATAAAGACCACTATGCTGAAGAGCAATGATGTTTGAAGATGATTTTGTGACCAATTCAGATAATGAGTCAAAATATCACAGTGCTCCATTCAACAGTGAATAGTTAAGTATAAGCTAAGGAACTCATATGATGCAATTCGCTATTCCAAAGGGTAAATCTCTGCCCATCCTTAAAAAAGGGACTTATTAAAGAGAAAGACTTCCTAGCACTTCAGGAGGCAGAGGTACGAGGACTGCCAAGTATGAGACTGGCCTGGATAACTAAGGGAGAACTGTCTCAAAATAAAATAAAACTCTAGGGATGAAGGCTGGGGTTGTGGCTCAGCAGCAGAGCGCTCGCTTAGCATATGCGAGACTGCGGGTTCGATCCTCAGCAGACAATAAAAATAAATAAGTGAAATAAAGGTATTGTGTCCAACTACAACTAAAAAAAATAAATATTAAAAAAAATTCAAAAAAGAAAGGACTGGGGATGTAGCTTCGTGGTTTAGTGTAGCTTAGTGGGTTTAATCCCCAGTAGTGGTGGAGAGAAAAAGAAGGAAAAGACCCCCAACTGCCTGAAGCAGAAGCAGAAACCTCCCAAACCCTCTCCCCTGATCACCACTACCTTCCCATGGTTAGTATACAAATTTCTTTGCCCAGAGTAAGTGCAAAGAAGGTGAAGCTAGAGCCAAGCAAGAGGAAAGTGCATAGAGCGCATGAAACAGAATGCAGTTGAGAACCAATTTAAAAGTTTTACTAAAAATGCTGACTATATAACCAACCAAAAGAATCTTTTTTTTTTTTTTTTTGGGGGGGGGGGGTGCCAGGGAACTGAACCCAAGAGTTCACTGAGCCACCACTAAGCCACATTCCCAGCCCTTTTTATTTAGACACAGGGTCTCACCAAGTTGCTTAGGGCCTCACTAAATTGCTGAGACTGGCTTTGCACTCACACTCCTCCTGCCTCAGCTCCTGAGCCACTAAGATAACAGGCATGTACCACTGAGGCCAGCAAAAATCTTAATTTGTCTAAACTGACACTACATAAAAATATAATCATTTTGTTGCTTTGAATAGCATATTTTTAAACCCAGAGGAGACACACGCTACAAATTACACTATGTCATAACAGCTTTGGAATGTTTGCTAAAAATGTAAATTTATGAAATTAAAATTTAGTTATGAATACAAACAGAGACAAGGCTTGTTACTATGGTATAACAATCTCAAAAGGCCTTGAAATAACTTAAGATCACTTAACAGGGTGAGTTCACATTATTTAGGTAAGCTGGATATGTTCTAAACTGTACCTAATAAAAACAAAGGGAAGTGGGGCTGGGGTTGTGGCTCAATGGTAGAGCACTCGCCTCGCAATATCCTGGGTTCGAATCTCAGCACCACATAAAAATAAATGAGTGAAATAAAGGTATTGTGTACAACTACAACTAAAAAATAAACATTAAAAAAAGGGGGAAGCAAGAATGAGGACAGGATGTTAACTGGAAGCTGCAAATGTTATGATCTTGAATCTTCAGGCCAGCATTAACATTTACAAAGCAAGCAAATCAAACACACAAAGGTCTGTATCTACCTCCTGTAAAATCCAATTATACATTTAAGCTAGGCAATTCCTGAAAATCCAAAAACCTACAAATATAGTTTTAATCAGGAATATTAGAAATTCTATTTGTATATCCCAAGGAAATTAGGAGTAATAAGGCAGTGAATATGCATTATGCAAATTTATGTAATCACCAAAACAATCTCATGGTTATTATTTCCATTTAGTTAGAAGATAAGTCAGTGAGCCAGCAACTCTGGAGGCAAGAAGATGGCAAGTTCAAGGCCAGCCTCAGCAATTTAGCAAGACCCTGTCTCTAAATAAAATTTAAAAGGTAGAATGCCCCTGGGTTCAATGGCTAGTACCAAAACAAAGGGGAAAAAAAATGTGAAGACTGACACCAGGTGCCATGCAATGAATAGCCTGCCACCTGTAATCACAGCAACTCAGGAATCTGAGGCAGGATGGAAAGTTGAAGGCCAACCCAGGCAAGACCCTATCTCAAAAAATGAAAAGGACCAGGTGAAATGGTGCCTGTAATCCCAGTGGCTCAGGAGGCTGAGACAAGAGGATCACGGGTTCAAAGTCAGCCTCAGCAACAGTGAGGCACTAAGCAACGCAGTGAGATCGTGTCTGGAAATAAAATACAAAATAGGGCTGGGGATGTGGCTCAGTGGTTGAGTGCCCCTGAGTTCAATCCCCAGTACCAAAAAAAAAAAAAAAGAAAAGAAAAGAAAAAGTTTGGGGATGTACCTCAGTGATAGAGGGCCTCTGGGTTCAATCCCCCAGTACTGCTAAAGAAAAGAATGGAATGAACGAATTAAAGCTGAGCCTTAGAGAAATGTATTCTCCAACCACTGTTAAACAGAGAAGAGTATAAGAGAAAACCAAAACTCAGAGCACTAAAATGATATGTCCAAAGGCCTTCCTACATCACCAAACTGCCTCCGTGGCATTCACAGGAAATCCCACTCACAGTGTTGTACTAGGAACATAAATAAAACAGCCTTGTGCTCTGCAGTGGGCTTCGGTGTTCTCGGTCTTGCTTTCCACTGTCTACCCTCCTGTGTTCAAAGCATGCCTATACTGCCCCTGTAGATATTTTCTACTCTTTTTCTCTAGCTTCTTTCCACCTTTTTTTTTTTCCCCTTTCACAACTTATTTGCTGTTTGTCTCTCTCAGGTCTCCTCTCTCCTTCACACTCTTTATTCCCTCCAGCCCTCTGTCTCTACAAGTGTGACTCTTCCCCTATCTCTGTGTACCACCCTCTCCCTGCCTCCCAGAGTCAACTATTAAGAAGCCTGAGCTGCATGTGGTGGTGCACGCCTGTAATCCCAGAGCTCAGCAGGCTAAGGGAGGAGATTCACAAGTTTGAGACTGGCTAGCCAACTTGACAAGGCCCTAAGCAACTTAGTGAGACCCAGTCTCAAAATAAAATATAAAAGGCAGGGTTGGGGTTGTGGCTCAGTGGTAGAGCACTCGTCTAATATATGCAAAGCCCTGGGTTTGATCCTCAGCACCACATAAAAATAAATAAATGAAGGTTCTGTAAGAGAAAGAAAGGGAGAAATTTCACTATCTGCAGTTTTCTTTACTAACCCAGAAACTCCATTTTAAAGTTTTACTCTCAATTAACTAAATCAGATCACACAAAAGGATTTTTTAACTATTCAGGAAGTTATTTTTTAGAATATAAGCAATAAATGACACCAAGCAGACTTTCCAGCCAAGATTTTTCCTAGTAAACAAAACTAATGAACCAAAAATGATGTTCAGAAATCAAATAACAACACAGACAGCTGCAAGAAATAAAATAAATAAATAAGAAGCCTTTTCCACCATGAAGGAGAAGAGCTGACTGTCACTTTTAATCAGAGTAAATTCCACCATCAAGACAAACAATCTTTTCAAGTTCTTAAAATCTACACCTCCCCTTTCTCTAGAAATCTCTTTTGAGTAGCAAGTTAATGTCAATTTCTAGTACTACTAATTCCTTTTTCACTTTTGCTAAATGTCACCAAGACTCCCTTCGCTGTTTTCTCGTTGGACCACTTGGCAACATTGCCTAACTTTCTTATTACCCCAGTTCAGTGCTTTCTCAGGGGCTGCCTCTCCCCACAAAGGTACTTCGCAGTCCCTTTGTCAAAAGGGCAAAGAGAGATTGGGCACAGTGAGGCACACATGTAATCCCAGTGACTCAGGAAGCTGAGGCAGGAGGATCAAAGTTCAAGAGAAGCCTCAGCAACTTAGCAAGATCCTGTCTCAAAACAAAAAATAAAAGGGACTAGGGGTATAGCTCAGTGATACCGCATCTCTAGGTTCAATGTCCAGGAAACCACCACTCCCTCTCCCCCCAAAAAAAGAGGCAAAAAAAGTTTGACAATTTCATCCCAAAGACATCATCAAGACATATTACCTGTGCTTCTGAGTTTCCTGTCCATTTCCAGATTCCAGAACAACACCTGCCTTCTTCTAAAAGGGATCCTGTTCTAACTAGAACCATTCTTTAGCACATTAAATTGGTATTTTAGGGCTGGGGATGTGGCTCAAGCAGTAGAGCGCTCGCCTGGCATGCACAGGGCCCTGAGATCGACCCTCAGCACCACATAAAAATAAAAATAAAGGTGTTGTGTCCACCGAAAACTAAAAAATAAATATTAAAAAAATTTTCTCAAAAAAAATTTTAAAAAACATCACTTCACAAATCTTTAAAACTCATATTCTAAAGTGGTTGCCCTATCCACCATCCTTTGAAAAGCCCTACTTATCAAACCCAATACCCCTTAAACCAATCAGAATAGAAGCCATATGCTTCACTGTTTGTTCATCTATAAAGTTTAACGACCACCAGCTATTCCACAAATTTGTTGTAATTAATGATGACACAAAATGTTCAAAACTTAGTAGGTTCTTCTTCAACCTTATCCACTTCATACATTGTTATTATTTCACACATTCAGCCCTCTTTTTCTCTCTACCCTCAGTGTAGGGC